ACATCATAAAAATAACTTCAAATTATCAGCAAACAGCCAAATGCGCTTTTAATTTTTTTTTTACATTTTCTTGTGCTAACAATTATGCATAACTTTTTAAGCGGGTGCATATCACAATTATTATTTTACATAATATTTAGAACTATTTCCAACAAAAATTAGCGTTACTATAGAAAAACATCCATCCCGAAACAGATACCGACTGACCTATATGAGTAAATTACTCATATGGATATTTATGGCTACATTAGCTATGCCATTTTTTGTCTGTTTGGCCTTGTTGCAGTTAATGTTTTGTGTCATCAGTAGTTGTATATGTCCAGCGTTGCTGTTTTCGATTACTGGGGGGACTTGGGGGGGGGCTGTCTAGTTTTGTTTGTTAACTTAAAAAATAAGTACAATTAATATTTATAAGTAAGTTCTTTTATGAACTTAGCAAGTTGACACCACGAAGCCTCAAGGATTTCGCATTAACCTCCTTACTAATTTCATTAATGGGAGAATGGGAGAATCCAACCATGTCAGTGCGAGATAGATTTAAATAGCGAAGTCCATTTGACCTGGTAGTACAGTTTGATACTCATATCGATATATATTTCACTACATTTTAATGAAGAATACTAAGTAGATACAATCTTTCGCTATGATCATAATCATATTTATTAATATTCAGGTTAAAGAGTACAAAATTGCATATTTTCTTTTGTATACGCTCCACATGGTCTACAAGATTGGCAAAATGTGAATTCCAAATAACACAATATTCCAAAATAGAACGCACCAGACAGTTATATAAAAGAATAAATGTAACATTAGTAAAGTTCCGAGTTTGTCGTTTAATGAAACCACTAATTCTAAAACATTACTCAATAAATCCTCAATATGAGAAGTGAAATTCAGTTCATAATCGTATTTTATCCCAAATTCTTCACCGTCTTTACTCTTTCAAGTTTAATATTTTCAATAAAATAATTAGACAACCAAATATTCTTTCTATGGGTAAAGGTAAAAGTAATTACTTTACATTTATTATGGTTTAACTTCATATCGTGAGATTCACACCATTTGGCTAATCGATTTCAAATCGTTCTCAATTGCATCATTTTAGAATCTGTAACACATCATAAAAATAACTTCAAATTATCAGCAAACTTTAAATATCTACATGATTCCAAGTTATGAGACGGTCATTAATAAAAAGAAGAAAAAATTGGTTCCAATTGCCTACCTTGAGGGACACCAGACGTTAAAATTTGTGTGCTTGCAGTTGGTTTAGGTGTTTGGGTGCGTGTGTTGCTTTGTAGTTTATTTTGTTTGGTCGGATTTTTTTGTCTGGGGACCTCGTCCTCGCTTTTTTGCGTTTGTCTGTGCAGGAGGTGGCGGAAAAGGGTACGGTAATGGAGTTTTTTTTTGTCTATTAATAAGGTTAAGTTTTTTGTATATTGTTTTGTTTTTGTCCGATTGTTTTAGTGTTATTTTAGTGTCAGCATTTTATTTTGTTAGTGTCTGAATTTGTAAACTTTGTGGTTTTGTTCAGTTAGTTTGCGTATTTCTCCTCTCAGTGTTTTATTTTCGTGCTTTTGTCGTAGTTTGTCGTATAGGTTGGCATTTGTTGTGGTGTTTTAAGAGGTTGTGGAGGTGGAAGATAACCTCGAGGATGACTTCTCGCTGGTTGCGTCATTGTCCATGTGGATGTTTACGTAGTCGTGGTCACAATCATCATCACATGGGCCTCGCATACAAATTTGGATCACATTTTATGACTCAAATTAAAGTTTAAGGAGTCGACAATGTAGCACTGATGCACTGGAGTCTAGTAAACAAAGCTGCGCTTACAGTGTCTTTTTCATATTCTACTTACACCAGCATCACTATTTTTAACACGAAGTCTTCAGTCCTTGTATACACTCCATAGGTGGGATAGATATATAGCACCTTGGTACAGCAAAATGTGAAAGGAAGGAAGTGTTAGAAATGATTTTTATTTACTAAAGAGCCAAATGAACAGTCTTTATAAACAATAGAAAATTAACTAACAGAAATTGCATGTCCAAAATTTTTGAAAATATGTATGTAGCATTTACAATTAGCAATGTTTTTGTAAAAAAAAATAATAATAAAAGACATACAACATACATCAAACAGATTTCAACTATAATGAATAAACAGGCGCCTAAATATTCTACAAAACACAAGATTTTAAAATAACCTGTACACAATAAATGGGAACATTAAATTTTTTTTATTTTTTTAAGGAAAAAACATTCTGCGATGATTGTTATTTAACAATAAAATAATGTGCTGCACATATAATTTTGAAGCTCAAATAAAAATGCACTTTATATGTATTAAACACTGAGTACTAATTCATGCATAATATAGCTACAGTTTTATTTTATGAATACAATATTATATTTGTGGTCACTATGGACAAACACATTCCTTGGAATTGGTGAAAAATCATAAAAAAACTCTTTGTAATTAGTTCAAAAATTACTGACATTTAGGTACATTTTATTAAGTCTACAACATTAAACCTAATGAACAAATTCACAAATTTAATTCATTCAATAATATGTAATTTTCAAAATATATACACAAGAGTTTTTTGATAGACTGCGTCACTGGTTTGAACGCTATACTTGTTAATACAATATATCTAAGCATTTTTTTATGACATTGCGATTGACAAATATAAAGAAATTACAAAAAATAATCTGGAGTTCTACGTGTTACATGAGGTTCTCCACGTCGAGGTGCGGGATCAAATTGTAAACTGAAACAATAAATATATTATTTTACTTTTTAAATAAGACAAATCTGCAACCTTTTAATCAAATAATATTTTCTCAGGAAATAGTTTATTTTATACATCTAAACATTATATAAAAATTCTTGAAACTAATAAAGTTGACTTCTCACCTCAGGCAATATTTTTTCTATACAAGGTGTTTATTAAGTACTTGTACATACTTTGAAGAGTGAATCTTTGACTAATTTTAAGATAAAAAGTTTTTATGAACATAGCTCCGTAACGGCTTGGTTCTTGAGATAGAGCATCTAAAAAAAAATTTTGTTTGGTATTTTGATTATATTTTTGTTCAATAACATGGCAATTTGATGCAATTCGGGAAACTGGCAGTATTGATGATGAGAAACTCAAATATTTACTTTTTTTGTTGAATGTTCAAAATGTACCAATATCAACACAGAAATGGCAGACATTCATTTTACCTATAGAATGGCTCACAGTAATGCACAAGCTGCAAGATGAATGTATCAGGCCGCGATTTCCTCAATGGGTGATTCTACACGTCTAAACTTTTATTAACATTCACGCAAGACTTTTGCCCGTACTTATAGTCGATACTTCAGACGAACTCAGATTTGAGTACGACTTAAGCACACAGTTGCATATTATAGTCCGTACTTCGTCGGTAAGCACGAGTCCAAGCGATCTTGGAAGCAACCCATACTCAAGTCTGGCAGAGACTGACCTTGAGGCGTGCTCAGTTAAGTTTGACATAACAAATTTGGTGTTATTTTTTGAAATTACAAACACAGTTTAAATGTAATTTATGGATCATGAAGAAAATTTGGATTTTTTGAAGTGTATTGATTTTGTGATGGATGAAAGTGTTGCCGTTGTGGAAAGAATGCCAAAAAGGTATATTCGCGACGCTGGAAATCCGATCCGAAATTCATATTGAAAATAATCAACTTGGTCTATTGTTTCCTGCAGACTTCATAAACCAACATTTTTAAATTGAAATGTACAATTTTAATAAAGTTTTTCATATGATTTTATGTTTAGTAGTATCCACTTATAATGTCTCTATGTGTTTGGTATATGCAAGATAGATAGTAAAAAAAATCTAGAAGTCAGCAACCCAGTCGAACAAACACGGTCAGTTTGTTTTGTGATATTGTCATTCTTGACATTAATAAAAAAAATACAGTCCACATTTGTTTGATTTGTATAAAGAATCACAAGAAAAAAGTGATATTTGTTCACAACCAAGTCATACAGGGCTTACAAAAGACTATGTTTATGACTATTATTAATTCGTAAATAAAGTTATACAAATTCATTTTTGTCGACTATTTTTTAATAATAAATTTTAAAATATTGTGTTAATTAGGCATTATAAATAATATATTGAATATGAGACATAATAAAATGCTAATCTAAATTTTAACTTTGTTAATGGTTTTGTTTTTTAAAAATTTGAAATTTTAGAAAAGCTAACTCCTCTTCTACTTTTTGTTTTCTTAATATGCTAGATGCCGCCTCTCGCTGTTCTTTCTCTATCGTAATTTTTATTTTATGTAATTCTGCCTGTTGTGCAATGGCTTCCCTCATTTTTCTTAAACGGAGATTAATATTACAGCAAATGTAAGTAAAAAAAGATATCCCAATTATTGTGGGGGGGATTGTTAGGTAGAAATACCAAGACGGGGTGTTTCACCATGGGACGACGAGAAAGAACTGACTGTTTTTGCCTTCTGCCCCGCCCGGCGGTCCGGTAGCGTCCTCTCGAGGTGGGCCCCAACTAACTTAAGAAACACAAAATTCCCGTATTTACCAGTCAACGTACTACAGCAAAATCAAAGTTACTAGTGGAACCAAAACGACCAAACTTCGCCGAGTTTTGCCGAAGTATCCATTATAAAACTTAAGCTGTACTCGAGTCGCGAGCATGACTTTGGTAAGTCATTCTCAAGATTGAGATTGAGTACCAACTATAGGTACGGGCATTTGTGAAACTGGCAGTTTTAAAAGGACAACAGAAGGAACGAAATCCTGCGACAGTTGGAACAGCTGAGATTGAAGAAGCTGTGTTAAATAAAATTGAAGAAGACTCGCAAATTAGTACACAGAAAATTGCTCGTGAATTGAATATTACACACACAATTGTCGCAAATTTTAACGACTTTATCCTTATCACATGCAACGTGTGCAGGCTATATTACCTAGAGATTTTCCCTTGAGAGTAGATTTATGCATTTGGTTGTGTAATAGATTATTAAGAACCCCAGCGATGTGCTGTTCACAGATGAAGCTTTGTTTTCTAGAAATGTCATCATTAACTTTCACAATAACCACATCTGGGCTGAGGATAATCAAAATGCTATCATAGAAAATTATTTTCATGTACAATTTTATGTAAATATTTGGATTGGAATTATCGGTGATCACCTTATTGGACCTTGAATTCTTCCACAAAGACTTACTGGCGAGAAAGACTTGTTTTTGAGAGACAAAAACTCTTAATGTAGCCCGGTCATTATAGACATGAAAGAGCCTGTTTCGGGGAAAAAATACTATTAGAAGTTTTTCTGCGGAATATTGTTCGGAAACCTGTTATAAATAAGATATCGAAAAATCAACTCGAGGCTAGTTGGGAAACTTTGTTTTAACAGTGGTCAAAGTTATGGAAAAGTGGTTTTTTGACTCAGGTAAAAAAGTTATTATTCATAGCGAAAAAAAGTTTATACAAAAAAGGTAGGTATTAAATAAGCCTATAAAATGAAAAAAGTCCGATTAAATTCCGATAATTTGTTTATGCACAAGAGCTCAAAAATGGTCGAAAATTGCCGTTTTTTTCAATTGCTAATAATTAATGCAATTTTCATCGCAGACACTTGTAATTCAGGATTTTTGAGGCTTTTTACACCCTTAATAAGTGGTAAAAATTTCAGCTCGAAAGCTTCATTGGTTTGACGTTGGCGGAATTTGTTATTTAAGAAGATGCTATTTTTCAATTCATTTTTCCCAAGCTCACAGGCGTTGTAGGGTTTTGATCATTAGTTGTTTTTGTACCTAAATAGTTGTATTGACATATGCATTTACTGATAATTTAATTTTTCAAATTTAATTTGTTTAAAAATGACTGAAAAAATGTTAATATTTATTACATCGTTAAGCGCGCACGCTAAGCCTTGCCTTCCCCACTCGTTCGCTAGACCACGTAATAGAACGCATCGCCGCAATCTTCTTTTTCGAAATTAAATAGTTGAATTCACCATAATCTTAATGTAGGACGTGAAAATATAGTTCTTAATGTATATTCTCTCCAAATTTCGGCTCTTATATTCTCTCCAAATTTCGGCTCTTAATATTAATAATTAAGGTCACTGCGATTAAATAAATAAAAAAAATATGGAAAGAAATAAATAGAATTTTATTTATAGCACCTATTTTATATCGGCAAAATCAACTGATTTAACCTTTATTGTTATTATTAATTAATAAAATTAATTTGATTTATGTTGTTAAATAATAAAATCCTTCGACATACCCGATGTTACAACAATTGTTCAAAATTTTATCCACCAACGTGTAAACACATTTGGGTACGTCTTACTCAGTGTCCACAAACTAACACAAATGCTGTCTTCTTTCACTATAACACAAATGCTTCACCATAAATTAAAACGATATCCATCGACTCTGAGTTGCTATGCACGCAAACCATTTTTGATACTAACTACTAAAAAACTATTGTAAACACCACAGATAACAGGTAAACACTACCGCAACGACGATTGCAAAATCGTATTTCAGTATTTGGAGTCGCTGGGGCCACGTGGCTCTCCACGCGTATTGCGAAGAACGCTATAGACTACAGTTGTTCAGCTATGTAGTGGTTGAATGTACTATAACTTCAATAATTTTTTTCTCGGAAACTATAAGGATTTTACAAAATTTTTTTTTATGATATTGACTCTATTTCTCATGCTGCATCTATTCCCAAATTTTTTTGGATAAATTGTGAATCACCCTGTATAGCACCCTCTAACATTAAACCAAAAACTATGTAAATATTTGAGTTTCTCATCATCAATACTCCCAGTGTCCCGAATTTCGTCAAATTGCCATGTTATTGAACAAAAATATAATCAAAATACCAACAAATTTTTTTTGGACGCCTTGTATCTCAAGTAGCAAGCCCTTGCGGATCCATATTCATATGAACTTTTTATTTTAAAATTAGTCAAACATTCACCCTTAAAAGTTTGTACAAGTAGGTACTTTATAAACACCCTGTATGTAGTTTATTCTACTTTTAAAACTAGGCGGCCTAGGTAAAATTTTCCCCCATTTTATTCAACAGCAGACCTTTAAAATTTGGACTGTTTTAGACAAAAAAGTTAAGTTTTCAATTGCCCATATCAAGCCTACAAACGATTTAAATATTAACATGTGAAAAATGTCAAGACATGAAAAATAAGGAGAATTTTACCTATCCCCCAGTTACCTTGTATATTTTCTTCTGATTAGCATTTTTTCAACCTATATTGAATTTACCTTTGAAATTACATTGTTGCTAAACTAATACAGTACATAAGGTCCGTCTAGACTTTGCATATTATTTTGAAAAAACTTTCTCAAAAGCAGGACTCCTTAGGCGACAGGCTGCCTTATGAAAAATATTTTGGCTACGCCTTTTAGAGATGGGTTAAAGCAATACACAATATACAAGGAGTTAACGAAATAAGTACTCAAAATTGGAAAGTATGTAGAACATGTCGAAGTATGATGAAAACAGTAGAGTTTTTGTCGGTGGCGGCCCGTAAGGTAGATACAGCCCCTTGAAGGGGTAACTCAGGAAACAGTCTTTATTGCATAACTTTAAAATGGTTTAATATTATATAATGAAATTTTGGGGTTGCATTATTATTTATATGTTTAATAATATACAAATCAAAATTTGCTACAGGGGTGTAAGAAAATGTGGAACCATGGGGCAAATTTTACCATTTTTTTTGTAT